AATAATAAATTAGTAAAAACACTAATCTAATTTTTTTCTTCTATAAGTTGTTTCACCATCAGTAGACTCATCATGAAGCACTTAATAGCGTATTGAACCTACTGATGAACCTACTGATGGTGAAACAATTTGTAGATAAAAAAAATTAGCTGAGTGTTTTTACTAATTAAAATAATAATAATAATAATAATAATAATATATATATATATATATATATATATATATATATATATATATATATAAATATATATATATATATAAATATATATATATATATATATATATTTATATATATATATATATATATATATATATATATATATATATATATATATATATATATATAATATACATATATATATATATATATATATATATATATATATATATATATATACATATATATATATATATATATATATATATATATATATATATATATATATATATATATATATATATATATATATATATATATATATATATATATATATATATTAGGGATATGACTTTTTTAACTTTTTATACAATTTGGACAACCCCATACTATTTTTGGATGAGTTTTTGCTATAAAACAATGAAGAAATGTTTATTTTCCTTCAAGTGTAAAAAAATGTCACGCCCCTCGGCTGAAATGTTTTTTAATACAATATAGATAGGAATATAATATACTATACATATTACATATGGGCCAGAAAACATAAGTTAAAGAAGTCATAACCCTCTATATATATTTTAATATATTATATTATTATATTATATATAATAAAATATATATAGACGGTTAATATATATTATATATATAATTTTAAATACATACCAGACGTATGCATTACCACTTTATAATTTCTAGTTTTTCACTGCCGTGCCTAATTGTTTATTAATTAGTTTCAGATTTTTTTGTGCTGCTTTTAATTAAAATGGCATACAAATACTGCCAATCAAGTGTTGAAAAAAATAAAGAGACTTATAAAAAAAATCTTGTGAAATTTCAAGATTGGCATAAAAGTAGACAGTTTCCAATGTTAGAAACATCTTTTCAAGAATATTCCAAAATGCCATTAAAAAGTGATATTGTTAGCAGGTTTAAGTATTTGTCTAGTACTGATGTGAAAGCCAAAAAGCAAAGGATAGATCTTATT